TCTCGTGTCGTTTGGTCCTCCCGTTCCACGGACGCTCTTTGGACACCCGCTTCCTCTGATGGTTTCCTTTTGGCGGGGATATCATAGATCCAATCGCTATCCTTCTCGAGAAAATATCCCAACGAGAGAATCGGCATGGAATCGCTCCACGAAAATTTCCATCTGCATTCCTCAGACATCGGATCGAGAGAACTGTGGAGCTAGCAGCTACATATATGTATATCTCGTTCTACCTTTGGCAGTCGGATCATTTATTTTCTCGAGCGAACATACAATCAAACACCATTTGTATCGGTACCGGTCAGCTTTATGGGGATTTTGCATTCATGAACGCTGTTGTCATCGAATCACGAGGAGAAGGCTGCGCTCGGGATCAACATCCTCTTCAGGAACAAGCTCTGCTCACATCCAATTGTAAGCGGCCTCGAGTGCGTACAATTCGGACACATGATGAATGAAGATACCGAATACCAGAGTCACTGATATGATGCTAGAACGTCGATTCAAATTAGGCCCCAGATGAGAGTTTCTTAGAGGGAGAGACTAACGCTTCATTTCTATGCTGTCACGTCCCTCCAACAACTGGAAATACAAAGGTCACCATCGAGTTGGGTTTCGCGAATAATCTCTCAGGACACCACGAACGCGTGTAGCGGTTTCGAAGAGCCGAAGAACGCGCCAGGTCCCGATCCACGACGCCACTCTAAGATCCCTGTCCAAGTAGCGCTGCAGAGCTTAACCGATAATTCAGCCTTCTTGAAGTAAGCAGCGACCAAGCGAGATCCGCCCTTGGGAGGGAACTGCAGATGACAGCATTTCACAGCTCGAGATGATGTCGAGAAAGCTCTCAACCTGTCGATAGAGAATTTCGTTCCTCAAGTACTTACCCACCCAAGCAAACAGCCTTTGCGAGTGGCCGGAGGATAAGCGGGGGCGATCCGTTGCTAAATATTGGTCTGACTGGCCGGAGCATCTCGAGCGGTGCATGGTCCCTCTCGAATACTCGCTCGATGTTATCTCGCGCTGCCACCACCCTTTGCAACACAGCGGCACCCACGTCGTCGATGTCTCGTTTCCCCTCTCACTTGTCTTAATTTAATGCCAAAGGCGTCCCTTACTTGTCGTGGCTAACGAGAGCCAGGTAGACGGCGGGCGAGAGCGCGGTACCTCATCCCAATTAAAAATTCCCACAAGTTGAGACCGTTCGTTCATTCGCCCCCCGCTCCGTTCGCGATCCCAAGGTGTTCATATATCACGCACATGCTTGTAGATTCATAAAGCTCAGTCTCGATGCCGCACGATGCCAGACGCCGAGCACGCAGCCTAATCCGGGCTTTATTGCAACCCTTCTATTCCGAAAATATCTTCGAGGGACAGCCCGCGCTCCCCGAGGTGGTAAAGCGACCGTCGGGCGGCTAGTCAACGACTGTTTCGAATTCTCCAGGGGGAGTCAATTTTGTAATTTTCACCCGAGCCCGATTCCAAATCCCTGCTGTAAACCTTCAAATGGCGATAGATCCGGCGACCGGCGAACAGCCTATTGGAAGCCGGGCTGCTAACACATTTAGATGCAGATTCAGCCAATCTTTCGTGTCGGCGTGACGCTCCGTCGTCGTCGCTCCAACGGTTTCGTCGTGGTCGTCCTCATCCTCCTCCTGCTCGTCGTCGGTGTACTTGGCTTAGAGGCACGGAGCACATTCGACTTTATGACAGGAAGGACCGCACCGCATGACACCGACATTGGATGGCGGTAGGCGACTTGCAAGTATGCGAGGCTGGAACCGCTGCTGGCTTGTTGATGTCGTTCCATAAGAAAGAAAAAACGGTTTCTCCGCGTGTTTCGGTATTGCTTGTCAACGCGCTCCCGTATGGAAAGACGTTCGTTGGTAGATCTGCGAATCGGTTCTTGCGAAACTGCCAATGAAGCTCGCTACGTTCTTACGAAATATACGAGCTGGCGCGATTTCTTGTTTGTTCTCCTCGGGGGAGATTCTGGAGGTTCTCTGCGCGCTCCGGAATCGCTCCTTTCGGCAGATTATGATTATTTCGTTCACGATCGTCAAGATGGGCATCCGCTCGGACGGCGCTCCATTGATCGTTTTCGCGTGCTCACACAGGTCGGAGCGGCTGGAGGAGTTTGACTTCCGATGCGATGGAAGGGGTGTGCGGGAATTAATCCGCAGTCCTAATGAAACATGTCTTCGGGAGCTCCGAGTATCGCGTGCGCGGATTCCTTAATAATTTCATGCCGTGAGTCTTATGCCGTGATGGTCGGTCATAGAATCTCTTTGGCGGCTAGTTCCCCCGGATCCTCGACCGCAGTGTGGCCGAGCAGCAAGTGTACAGATGGCGGCCGTCTCACTGTTGATGGGTCTCGGAATCCATTGAAAATGCTAGCACTCGCGCCTGCCCGTCATCGTTTCGCCCGCTTATGGTCGTTGCATTTTCAGGAAATGATTCTCATTCGCTGATTGTTGCTCTTCAGCGCGCAGTTTAGAACCAAAATATTATTTACTTTACTCATCCCTTGCTCGTCCGTGTTTTTGCGATGATGCGCTGCCGTCGGCGGAAATCGCCGAGCTTTGGTAATGCAAGCGGGGCATCTACGCGGCCGCCTGTGATCGGACTCGGATCTTTTCCATCTTTAATTTTTTAGGCGAGAATGGTTCATCTGGATGATGGACCAGTAGCCAATCTTCGCGGATCGATCAACTTCGGAAGGTTACGATTAGGTTGCCGCTCTTTTTTTCGATATTCCGAAGTAGAGAGACGCCGGCACGGATCCTCGTTGGGGGCTGTCTCGCAAGGAATGGCTCGATCATCTCCGGAAATTCTTGCAAGGAGCTTGACGAGGCTTCAAATGAGCCAAACTTCAATTGAGGGTAGTCGGGTGAACTCTCCTCTTACGCGGTGGAGGCTAGGATTGCGGAGATTTCCGGGTAGCGTGGAACAAGAGTCCGAGATCCAAATGAGCTCTGGGAATATTATCCGTGAAACGACATCAGAGAGGGTTGTTCGAAGGAGAGAATGCCCACGAGCTTACCCAGCTCAGCAGAAGGGCCGTCGATACCTCAACAAAAGCTACTGCGAGAGAGCTCGACTCTTGACGACACCCCATGGATAAAATTTAATCAACATGTACTCTTCACGCGCACGGTCAACCTGTCGCGAGTCCACAGCAGGATGTAGGTTAGGACATCCTGGGAGCTTCGGGAGCAGGGGAAGTATTGTACAAGAGCAGGTATGAGGACTGAGAGCCGAGAGAAATCGAGATCCCGCTGATTTCTTGTTTGTTCTTAAAAAGTTCGTCTAGGAGCCTCTTTGTTCCCGCTCACAGTCCCAGGGTCTGCGGAGACCATGTCACCGAACGTTAACTTGGAGACTCTTCTCCGAGGTGAAAGCTGCGGGACGCGAAACCTGAACGAACGTCGAGCGGGAAGACCGCGATCCCCAGCGGGACCAAAACGAGACGGGGATCAGAGTCCGGCTGTTCCGTCGAAATTCGTGCGGTGAACTCCGCATGAAGACGCTCATTTCTGCGCGGCCGATCCCAGGAATTTGGACCTGACCGAATAGTCGATTCACATCAGAGCCGTGAAGTCCCTCGAGCCGCCCCCAATGCCATCGTGGGACGACTCGGTGTCATACACTTCTGGAGACAACTTCCATCGGCACAGCCGTCGACGTCATCGCTCGTTCCATGGGAAGGGCGAGGAAACCCGCAGGAACCGCATCGGCATCACCACCATTCCCTAGGTGTTGTCGGCTGGCCAGATGTCGTAAATTGGCCGCTCCCATGACTTGTGAAATTGAGCACGTTTCGGCAGTATGGCGTGCCAGTTCGCACGTGGGAGAAACCGAGAGAATAGAAGAAGGAGCGAACACGCTCACCTGCACCGACTTGAGAGCGATTGAACGACCAAGTGACTAATAAGTGAATCTTCGCCTAACACCTGAGAACACCCCGGGAGACTCGAGTGGCGACGACGCTCTCGTCGCCGGCGCCGCTAACGCAGAGGCAGAAATCAAATTTGCTGGCTCTACGAGACCCTGTAATTCGTTTAGCAATTTCGTCAATGGTCTGACTGACTTCATCGAGGACGGCGCAAAAAAGCGGGTCGAGCTAGTGGAGTGAGCGGGAAATACCAGGTCCGAGAGGTGAATGGCGGAAATATGGGTGAGGGAGTAGAGGGATTCCCTCGTAAGAGCTCCGGGAAGGTCGAAGAGTCGGTGAAGACAGCAGCGAGTTCGGGATCGCAGAATCAAGAGTTCAGGTGAGGCGTCGAGTCGGAGGAGCAGAAGCTTCCGCTACGGGCCAGAAGAAAAGCTTCTAGGAACAAAAAGAGGTTGTACGACAGTTTCTTCCCAATTCATCATAATGAGGGAACGATTGTTCTCTGGTTGTATTAATGCTGATGTTCCATCGGAATCATATCTGGTTGATTCAAGCACCTCGGAAAAGGTTGGATCATCTCATGGGGCTCATATCGATCTGTTCCCCGAAAATTGGATACCTATCGCGTTTGTTTTCCTCTCACATTTTATCTTTGGAATCCTTTCCTTTTTCCCATGTGGCGTCAATAGGCGCTCTAGCGTTTACATCCTATGTCAAGTTAGGGCAGTTGGGTTGAGAGCGGGTGATTTAGTTCTTGATATGAATGATTTACCCGAGGCATCAAGCAGAAGTTTGGTAGAGGAACACAAGCAATTCTTCGTCCGTGACCGTGAAGCATGGGGAATCTCAAGCGTTCCCGCCACTCATCCACCAGCAATCATCTCACGACAGACGGAAACGATATTTGCTTGAAATACACTCTCCCTGCCAGAGGCATGAAGACAAAGGGAACTCCTTCGATTTGGTGAGGGAAATTCGCCCGGGCATGATTAGGGCTCCATTCTTCAGTTGGTGATGAGGTCGCCCATTCATCCGTGCCTCCAGCCAGCTGGGGGTGTTCCAGTCAGATGCAATCGATGACACCCTATGATAATGATGCACGAGATTGTTTTGGGCATTCTCCCGAAAACGATAAGGTTTACTGAACAATATATGAAGGTTGTCTCTGAAGCTACCCGATATCACATCTGACAGGAGAAGATGCCCCATCCTTCCCGGTGGCTTCATTCTCCGATTTTTTCCCCTTAAGCCTCAGCTGGAACCATGGCTTTTTCGTGAAATTCAACCGTCTCGGTAGAGGAGGTTATCGGAAAGAGAAAAATCAGGCCAGAGTGACGTCTCTCTTGAATGCTCTCAAGTCAATGTGAAAACCCGGTGATTAGCCGGAGCCGGATGTCGACGTTTTATAAGCTTTCCACGAGGATCTATGCGGTCGATCTCTTTGCCCCGGATGACTTCCAATAGGCGCTCCGCCGAAAAGAGCCCCGAGTCTTGAACGATGGTAACCAAATCAGCTGTTGATATCAGAGAGAGTCGTACGACCTCGAGTATCTCCGGGAAGTTGCCATGATCTGGATTCATTTCGCGCCATAGCTTGATGGCGATGACGATCTCCACCTCTTCGACGCAGAACGTATCGCGACTCAGGAGTCGAGACAGCGTTTTCGCTGGGAGATGACAAAATTCTCTGGTCTTCAGGATGGCGCTCGCATGATGACCCATGTAATCACGACAAGCTTCGCTGAGACTGTCGAGTTCCAGCAGCTCTGCCCTCTCAAGAATAGAGCAGGCGCTTTCGACCGACAGATTCCGTTTAAGGAAATCGCTCAGTTTCCTCAGGAGCTTCTCGAGTCCGTACATGTGAGCGATTCCGATCACTTCGAGAGCCGTCGCCGCCTCAAGCTCCTTCAGATCCAGTTTTGCCGTGTATACGTATGTGAGGAATATTTTCATTCCCCTCAAGGGGACATCTTCCAAGACTATCTGGGTCTTGCGTGACTCTTCCAAGTCTCCGAACAAGAGAGCTCTGGAAGAAAGAAACCCAATGATTATATCGTTTCCCATTGAGCGATGAGATCTGAGGATAGACCCGCATCGCCTCCTCGATATAAATACCACCGACGTGGGTTCCAGACTCGGATTCCAGAGCCATGTCACGCCGCTGGATACGCCATGCCTGCCGCATACCGTCTCTAGACATCATCGACATTTCTACGGTGCAACGACTACCTGAAATATTCGCAGGAGCAGGCGAGAATGATTCTATGCGCTGGAAGTGCTTCCCCTTCGACGATTAAGCTGATGTCTGAGAAACGATCATCGAGCAAGAGAGATCCGATCCGTTCCGCCAAGTCATCGGCGGCATCCGTCTCGTCGCAACGTTTTTCCAACCATCTCGAGGAACCGGGCGGTAGATACATGCTCGACCTTCCGTGAGATCTTCCTCCTCGATTTAACGTCTCAGAGCCGAGGTTCTATGACGGAAGGTAGAGAGGCACGATCTTTTCTCGGCAGTCTTTTCGACTGATTGTCTCAAGGAGAAGGTAGCGTTCGAATCGAGGGCCGCTACGCCATTAGTTCCTGATTGTGTCGCCAGGTGGCACCTGAAGTTTTCCGAGCTGCGTCGAATCAGATTGTTGTCGCTGCGTTCATCGATCGATCGCAGCTGACCACTTGAGATTGCTTCTGTGGTGAATTCACTCAATGGCGGGGGTTCTTTCTCCCTACTCCCTATGTCTCCGTTTGATGCTCGCCGATTGAGGACAGGGTTCGAACGTTTTTCTTCGGGACCGTCTTCTCAGTCGTCTTCCTACTCATCACTGCACTCGACTCTCATAGTTGCGGATGACTTCTTCTCACTTCATCTCGAAGTCGAAAACAGCCACTCTGGGTCCATAACCTCTTGATGAGGTCTACGACACGCTAGCTGGAAGATCGAGGACATCGAGAGAATGTCCGAATGGAAGGAGAACACGGAACGACTTGGCTTCGACGGGTTAGCCGCTTCCCGGTCGAGCTACGCTTCTAGACGGGGTCGTCGCGCGCACACTATGTTTTTATTCTAGAGAGCCGACGTCTACACCGATCGTCGTAGGTGGTATTCGACTGAGAGCGCGCTCAGAGAGCACATCTGTCCAATGGAAACCGATCACAACAAACGAAAGCTCCGCTGCGAGCCCGTCTGTCATCATTGGATTGGATTTTGAGTCTCCTCAAAATTGGCCGCCGACGACATTAATGGCTTATTCGGTGATCGCGGGCGTTTTGGAGCTACGGGTCCATGCACTCTGATGCGCCGAAGATATGATTGCTGAAGGATTTTTTGAATAGATTTCTGATTTTCCATACAGCCCCGGAACGACGTTTCTGTGCAGTACTGTGGCAGGTTCCGACATCCGAACCGACTTTGGGATTCGAAGAGAGGGATCTCGGCGGAGATACGAAGATACGTTGGTCGGATCGTATGTCCCATTTTCATAGAGGCATTTCATGGAGGAAGACTAGCCGCGATATTGAAATAGTTTATTGTGGGAGCGATGGGAATCGCTGAAGTTCATCCGGGACGGCGTCGGGGCTCGGTGAGACGTCTCCATCTCGGACCAAACCCATACTCGACCGTGTTTCCTCGATAGAGCGGCTCTTCTCGATCCGCCACCGACATTTCAACCCGCAGGCAGTCCTAGCTCGGAGATCCGCGCTCAAACAGGTTCGAGCGGCATCCGTTCCCTCCGCGATCCCTCGCTCATTGCTCGACATTCGAAATTGCTGCATTCGAAATACTGGAAGCAGTTATGAGAAATGAATAACAGGGCAGAATGAGACCTCCCAGCGAGATCTCCTAGTCACACGGGAACTTCGATGACGCAGCATAGGATCTGCGGTCACATCGAGCACCGTCTGAATCATCGATCCATCTGCAATGCCTCCGAGAGAGCCTCAATGAAGTTATACCAACCTCACCGGACCTCGAGGACGTAGCTACGATTTTGATGAAAGCCACTGGCAGCGAAGGGAAGCTCAGGCTCTGCCAGTAGACGCAATCTTCCGCGGTGCGATCCACAACACGGGTCCATTCTCGTTTGTTGACCGAAGTTTCAATGTAATACGAATATCCTCTAGAAGGCAAGGTGTGCAATAGAAGTCGCATGTAGTTGATGGAGTACGGCTGCGATAGCTGGAGTATTATGGCACCTCCACCGATTCTATGCCAGGTACCCTTAGAGATTCCGGGCTTGCTGGCATTCATCTTGTCAATCAAGCCGTCCTTCCCCCCTCCGCATTCGATCACCGTAGCTCCGAGCTCCGTGGACGCAACGTTTTCTCGGGGAGCATAGAAGCCATGGACGAGCGTGAATTTCTCCAGGCTCCGGGCCACCTCCAAACCCGACAGAACAATATCGTTTCTGTCAGCTCCCATCGAGAAGATTATCCGGAGGTAACGGACGATCCGAGTGTTGAAGAACAGTCTTTGGAGGGAGCGGCAAGCGAACCCTGAGAAATCAATAATTCGAGCCCAGACCAGCAGATCCAGGGAAGCTTCGATGTAGTACGAGGCAGGAACTGGAGCTTCTTCACTGAGTCGGAAGGCGATGTAGTTGATGAAGAAGTTCTCGCTCAACGCGATTGTCAGTCCCTTGCTCGAGTCCACTTTCACCTTCGACGCACACGGAGGCATAGCTTTGATTTCATACTTGATCCGCGGGGTCGAGGAGGGAGAACTCACAGGGAGAAGTCCCGTCAACTCCACCGAGCCCCGATCTGCGGTCGCTAAATTTTCGCCGCTCGTCATTATACCCCTCACGGGCAAATCCGCGAGATGCTTCTCCTTCAGCCGTCGGGCTTCCCGTAGACGGTCTCCCGCGAATAGACCTGAGTCTTTCACGGTAGTTGCGAGATTGACGATGTCGATGAGTGGCAGTCGGACGCTATCTAGAACTTCGGGAAGCTCCCTGTCTGTCGGGTTCATGTCGCACCATTGCTTGACGGCTCCGAAGATCTCGATTTCCTTCACGTAGAAAGTATTCCGAGACAGGAGCTGGGCGATCGCTGAGGCTGGCAATTTATAGAATGCTTCGTCACGGAGTAGGGCATGCGACTGCTGATCCATGAAACGACGACAGGACTCACTCAAAAGCTCAAGATTGAGAGAGTGAGCTGTTTCATACACCATGCAGACGTTTTCGACCGAGAGTGCTTTCTCCAGGTGTTCAGAGAGCGAGCTCTCTAGTTTTTCCAGTCCGTATAGATGCGCGATCTCGAGGATTTCCAGAAGCGAGACCTCATCCAGATCTTGAAAGTTCAGCTTCGTGGTGTAGATGTATTTGAGGATCTCTTTGAAACCCCGGAGAGGAACACCCGGTAGAACTATCTTGCTTTGGCGCGACTCGTCCATCCCGCCACACAGAAGCGCCCTCGGGGAACAATGAATCATATTCAATGATCGCTCTCAAAGCTTTTTCGGATGAACTATGAAAAGCTTGAGGGGTTCCGCTCACCTGAAGTATTCGCAAGATCCAGCCAACAAATTACGGTGTACTGGGATCTCGACTCCTGCCACGATCAGGGTCAAATCTGTGGCCTCATCATGGAGCAGCATGGATCCGATCCATTCCAGGAGATGCTGTACGTCTTCCATGACGGGCCTGTTGTACCCCGATCGGCTCGACGCTGACCAATAGAGGAGCCATGAGCTATGACTTTATCCGCGAAAGAAGAAAAAGGGAATCGGACCCTACTGCTTCGACGCAAGTCCGATTCCCAGCTCCGAGCATAGATTCCGATGTGCGAGCTCGAGCCTTCATACATACCGAATCACGGAAGTCTGAGTCGGCTCGTCGGCTGCCGACCTCCGCTTGGATGTAGTTCGCTCACTGTCAAGCATCGCAGTACGGGGCTCGACGGGTGAGTGTACCAAAAAAGTTTCTGCTGGTTTAGCGCTGAGGATTATGGATTAAGTTGGAATATTTTTTCGGGGCGTTCGACAGGTAGCCTTAGAGCGTATTATATGGCTCCGCTTCGATGCGCGACTCGTTATGCGAAGGAAAAAGAAACAAGAAGGGAAGATATGAAAGGGAGGAGAACGAAGCTCCCATGTAGAATCGGTTCGTTTGTTCCCAAATTCTCAACGCGGACAGATCTTTGTTCAGACGTAACCGAATGGGGACCCCGGGCTTCGAATCCAAGCCTTCGCAGAGGGGGTTCTTCGCAAATGTACTCATCACCTGCAATTACCAAATGAGCATTCGGGCCAAGCCTATACCGATCCTCCGGAATGCGAATTCGGCGTTTCCGACTATGTTTGGCAGTTTACTACCGTCCGGTTTCTCGCTTCGTCCTCCCTCCAGGAGCCCGAAACTCAGGGGACGAGATTCGTGGCTCCGGGGTGAGGTCTGGCGGGAATCCAAGAGCCTGGAATCTCCGTGGAGTATTTTCATCAGCTCCTCTATGGAAATTTCAGGCGTAATGAGGAATTTCGCCCAGATCCGATCTACCGCTATTCACAGGCTCGGGATGAGTTACGGAGTCACAGGTCACCGGCTCCGGTGAGCTCCCTTAAGCGCGGTCCGACTTCTGGCGGTAACTCTCCTCGATCGCGGCTCTCTCAAGCCATAAGCCCAGGTAAAACTTGCTTTAGGAATTTGGTGGAGTTTCCGTGGATCAACACGATAGAGCTTATGGAATCCCGTACCGAGAAGCACTTAATCTTACCACAAATACTTCCACTCCCAGCCCGGCTCTTCCAGGGGAATATGATCCGGTATCAGCGAGCTCTTTACGGGTGGTTGGGATCAAGGTATAGAACTTCGGGGATATTTCGGCGCTGTGAGCAGCGAACGCGGAAAATCGAAATAAGGTGGCTAGATTCATCGAGAATCGAGAGCCTTGCACTCGATGACTCTTTTCCATGAGATATCTCGCCGCGCGTATTTTATCAGATTTCGAAGCACACGTAGAATTGCGCATGAGGACGCCTGAGAGCGAAACGGGATATTGGTACAGCTGCCATTGCCAAGTTGTGCGATGCCATCTCGGATCTAGGTACCCATGTACTTTGATCTGAGCATCAGGGGCTTCCAAACCAGTAAGCGTTCCGACGGACCGATAAACGTACTCGAAATAATCGATGACGGTCTTCCAGATGGCGAGATTGATGGAGCCAGGTGGGATGAACAGGATGTAGCATATCGGTTGCAGAAACGAAATGAGATGAGATTGTCGACGAACGTTTCATTGACTGCAATGAATAATCATACCCATCCCGTCGCAAGCTGTAAAATTGATGCGCGATAGCGGGAGAGCCACGCCCCTGGACGCTTGGTAATTTCTCGCCCTGAGAGGGCCTCCTGGGTACTTGGCTCGAGCATCATGGCTCCCGGACCCGACGTCGCGAGATTATGATCTCTGAGTCGGAAGCCTTGAGGAGAGAAGGCCTTATGTTCCCCGGGTACGATTGCGTTCAGCATCGAGATTTCGCTGCCACGGCCGAGTCTCTGAAGATCGTGACGAGATCCTTCGCCACGATGAGAAGCATCGGCTCATGTCGCGAATAGTTGCTACCTCCCAGCGACCCGGATTCCCCGCGTACCGCGTAATAATGGCATCGGAGATTCGGATTCCTTTCGCGTGGGACTCATGTGACACTTTGGTGTTTGTTCTAGGCCAAGAGACCTTCTACTCGTGAGACTAGAGTTTGCCTCGCAGTCAATCAGCTTAAGACAACGTCTTCCGAGAAGCTCCTCTCGCAGCTGGAGCGCGTTCTTGGAGAACCTCCAAGCTTTTTCGGTGGATAGAATTCTTTCGAGACATTCGAGAATCAATTCTTGTAGCTTCTCGAAGCTATTCCCGTGCGCGACCCCCGGTGAATTCAAAATCGTATCTTCGTGTGCTTCTTCGAGGCTAGAGCTTCTGCTGAAGTTGTACCCGTGAAGCTCCCTGACTCCTCGCAGCGAACTATCCTCTGACACCATCATCGAAGCGGACGATGCCTAGGGAATGCGCGGAAGTGCGCATGCAGTGATGCTCGCGGGGAGACATCGACCGCAATCTTGAAGCATAAGACGGCACGGAAGGCTGAATATTGCTCAAAATAAATAGCTCCAGTTGGCAGATACTTGAATATTGACGGAATAGCTGACGAAGTCACACAAAAATGAGAGTATGAGTCTGAAGACCGGGAGCGCCTCGCCGTCAACGGTGAGAGTCACGTCAGACGATCCTTCATCGAGCAAGAGTGATCCAATCCTTTCGGCAACATCACAGACGTCCACCATCTCGGAGTAGGTCGAGAGTAGAGACCAACTCTCCGCCGTCCTCCCGGAGTTTGAGCACTCCGTCACGGCGCCGATCGATTCGAGATATAATTTGGTCGTTCTACATGGCCGCTCGCCGAGACGGGAATGTTGAGAAGGCGTTCGGGTGTCAAGTCCCTTCGTCGACACATTTCGAGATCAGTTCGGGGCTGATTCTAGTATAGACGGTGAATCCGAGCCTCGGGGTAAAGTGCCCGAAAAAAATTACCCCGCCCCTCAAACCAGCACCTCAGGGAAGGCGTCGCGTCTTTCCCACCAGGCTTGATTCGGATTGCTTTCAATAAAAGATCGGCGGTGGATTGTCCAGAGTTTTTCTGAGTTTTCGCGATTCTCATATCACGGGCTCTGAACTCAAGGCAACGGTCGCAAATCTCGCCACCTGGTGGAACGGTGTCGTCGCACTCGAAACGCTGCCTAGTCGTCATAATATCATAAATAGAGCTCGGAAGATCAGGCATTCTGCAATGAGTGCCCATGGTCGCCTTTTTCGACGCTTTTCCATCGGAAATACCTATTTAGTATTAAGGTATTTTCGCGCCTTAAGTGCCTTCTTGAGCTACCAAGACGCTGAATTCCGGGAGTTCTGGGGACATTTAGGGTCCAAGTGACGGATTCGGCGATGAATAGGATCGGCGAACCCATGCTCCAGGAACATATCTTGCTTCTGATAGAATCCGATGGTCCGCCCAGGCTTCGAATTCTTCCCGATGATGTAGAAGGCTCCCTATTAGACCGGCCTCGATCAATGACCGATGGCACTGCGGGAGACCACGTGAATTTCTCATCGAACGGCACTGACGAAGGGCTTGCGGCGTTTGCCCTGCCTATCATGCCTGCTTTGTCTCGTTCTGAGCCTATTCTAGAGTATTTCAGTGCGTTTTTACCAGCCATTTTCGGACTGTTTTCAGTGCCTGAACTTCCGAGCTCTGATGATAAATCATGATGATATTGCCAAGTCCAATAACACGAAGTTCCGAATCCATTTACCGGTCAATGAATCACTAGCTGGTCCGGAGCCCGAGCTTCCCTCGGAACCGCGACCGGCGTGTGGAGAGTCACTCCAGAGACCAGAGGTGCCATAGATCCGACAGAAGACATATCCGATTGACAGAAACATATTCGCTTTCCAGGAGCAGTGTTTGCGGCGAACCGGAATAATATTCTACGAGCTTACGCGACTCTGCAAACAGACTACGTCGAAAGCCGCTCTACGCAAACCTTGCGATTCGAACTTATTCAGTCAGGACCTGATGAGGACGTGCCGAAACTTCGGTGAAAAAACCATCTCGCACCTGAATCTCGTAGGGACCTCCCGACTACATCCGTTCTGGGCGCCGGTGCCGCGTCGCTGTCGTTGTCGGAGCACATCATCGAGCTGGGGATGAGCATATTCCGATCCTCAGAGCCCAAAGTGACTTCTCCACCTAGGTGAATTTCGACGCAAGATCTCGCGGAATCGACTCGGGGAATGGATAGGGAGACAATGATTGTTTGGTTGCAAGTGGGCTATCGCTGATTGAGTCAGACTCGCTTGTCCGTCTCGAGGGAAGAGGTATGCTGACTTGATCACCAAGGAATGGAATTCAATTTCATCACCATCGATATCGAGTGAGAAAACTTAGCGGATAATCGAAATACAGAACTACATTAATTTATTCCCTCGTTGACTCATTCGTTTTGTTTGAGACCCATGACTTGCGATCCACTGACCGCCTTCCTCTGCGAAAAAGCACCGTCTCCCCGCTGCTGACATTTGCAGCATTCACTCCATTTGCCGGCTCCCGCGTCGTCATTTTTTATTTTTTTAAATTTAATTTTTTATCGTCGGCCAGATCGATGTTCTAGAAGAGATTGCTCAAGGGTGACTCCCAGGTCTGTGCATGAGAAATCCCTTCTTCCGGATATGCGAAGGAGGTTCGGCCGATCTTCACGCGAGAGGCGGAGATCCCATCTGCGGAGCGACAAAGACATCCGTAAACAGGCGGTCAACGAAATCTCTGGAACAAAAGAGGATTTGCTAATCCCTCAAGTGGTAACTGACCTTTGCTTCTGTTGGCTGACCATTGCTCGGTTCTGTTTCCTTCTGGATAGCCTCATCCTTTTCAGCCCAGCACTTAAATTCGCTGCAGGAAAAAACCTGAGGAGAGAGCTGAGCCTTAGCGAGAACTTCTGATAATATCAATCTCGCTGTGATTTCCAATAATCAGAGTCTCCTCCGACGCACGTACCGAACTGCCAGAAGATTCTGTACCACATATTTTGATAAAGCTGACCGGAACTGTGGCGAATTCCAATCTCTGCGAGGATTTACAACGATCCTGGGAGCGATCAATCACACGAGTCCATTCCTTGCGATCGGAAGAAACTTCGACGAAGTAGGAATAATCATGCGAATCTTCTTGTGGCAGGACCAAACTGATGGAATTCACGGCATACGGCTGCGACAACTGAACGATGATCGGATCGTCACCTATTTTATGCTCGGTCCGACCTGTTCCCGCGAGCTCGTCTTTGGACTTGCCACCTATCATCTCATCGACGCCTCTAGAGCATTCTACGACAGCAGCTCCCAAGCTCATTGTGGCGACATTCTCCGCAGGAGCGTAGTACCCTTTGCGAAAATTCCAATCTTGCCCAGTATAAGACGCTTCGAATTCACACATCTGACCGATTTGTTTCCCCGGGAGCTCGTGGCAGAGGAGTCGAATGAAACGAACGATTCTCGGCTTGAAGTGAAGTCTTTGGAGAGAGCGACAGACTAATTCGGGTTGATCGAAGACACGGATCCAATTCATCAAGTCGACCGAGACCTCGACGTGGTACCCGAAACTCGCCGAGCGTCCATCAGGCAATCGGAACGAGATATAGTCGACGAAGAAGGCTTTGCTGAGCGCAACTGTGAACGCCTCTTTGACCGGCAGATCAATAGAGCAGTCATCTTCGGGCATATCTTCGCTGTGATAGCGCAGGTTGGCCTCCGGGAAAGCGATAACTTCGGAATCGTCCTCTACGATAACGAGCCTCTTCGCCCCGTTTTCTTTGGTGGCGAGATTCTGTCCTTGTGTTAGGACGCCCCTGACAGGCAGATCTGCTGAATGACACTCCCGCATCTGGATGGCTTCGATCAATCGATCCGTCGTTATCAGACTCGAGCTCTTGACCTCAGTGAGAAGACTTTTCGTCGGGATGAGTGGTAGTCGAAGCATACCCAGCACTTCGGCCTGGTCTTCGGGGTCAGGATTTTTCTTGCACCAAGGAGTCACAGCCCTGAAGATGTCGATCTCCTCCGCGCAGAAAGAATCACGCGATAGAATTCGACTCAAAGTACGCGCACGAGAAGTACAGAAAGCCTCGCTCTCGAGAACTGCCTGTGGGACTTGATCCATGAAATGGACACAAACTTCATGCAAGTGCTTGAGGCTGAGCGGCTCAATTGACTCGCAGATTAGCAAGACATTGTCAGCGGACATAATTTCCTCGAGATACTCGCAGAGTGATGTTCGCATCTTCTCGAGTCCATAGAGATCTGCCACGGAAAGAACTTCCAGAATCGTCTCAACATCCATTGATTTCAATTCCAACTGTGCGGTGTAGATGTACTTAAGCACCGCTTTGAACCCCCGGGCTGGGACGTCCTTCAGCTCGACCTCTTCCTGGTCCGACTCCATCATTCCTCCACGGAAGAGTGCCCTGGGAAACGGCCAAACGTTTAGAATCTCGGAGAATCCGAATTGGCAAGATGATTGCAACAGATTCGTGAAGGATCCGGGATCTCGAAATGTTCAAAAATCGTTCCATGCTCTCTGTAGGAGATCGTAGAGCTGAATGTCGACCTCGTCGGAAATATTCAAAGTACACTAATTGTGAATAATATGAAGTACGAGAATGGCTTCTCACTCACTGCAGCAAGATATATTCATGCTCAATTCACAAGCTTTGTGAGAGCGGGAACGGCACATGCAGGAGAAGCTTGAAATGATGAAGATGATGGTCTGAGGCGGAGAGCGGATCTCTAAGTGTTAGTTCGGGGATGACTCTCGGCTTTTTCCTTGCGACTACCGGAACTCCGGCCACGGCCTCTAAGCTCGACGAAATCTTCGCAGCGAGAGCATTGTCGACCCCGATCACAAACCGGCTCCCGCGTCGTCAGGCTCACCCACTATCACGCTTGCCGCCGCCGCCGACGAAGAGTCGATCAAGAGAAACTACTCTTATTGTCGAAGGAACTTGGAGAATCACACGGAAAACGACAGATTCCAGGAATCCACGGGCGATCGGCCGGCTCGTTTCATCCACACACACTCCCTAGTCTCCTACGCCCGTCGATTCCTCTCACGCTCGCTCTCTTCCATTCGTTCTAAGACACTCTCTCAACTTGATCTCCACGATATTCTCTGGGCTCTGGGACGATGAATTCCTGATTTTTTTCCGTGAATTCATCGCTTCTGCCCTCCTGTGGGAGAATCCGTGTGGTCGCCTCCCTGTGAATTCGAATCGTCCGCAAGCATCATTCAATGGTCAATAAAGGCCACCGATTCGGAAGGGCTCAGGCATGTCTGGGGGAAAGGGGCCTTGCTTCAATCACGAATACTCAGATGGGTATTCGTCTGTCTTGATCTGCGTTAGAGGAAAATGGTGGGCAAGGAAACGAGCAACTCGCTCCAACTCTCATTCTCAAGCGCATTCGGAGCGGTCTATGACACGTGCAGACGGACGCCAAGCCATGAAATACGGAACGAGTCGTACAAGTACCTGAAGTAATCACACGATGCAGCGAGAATGATCTTGTGAGCGTATACAGCTTCGCCCTCAACCACGAGAGTAATATCCGAGGAATCCTTGTCCGACATAATGGATCCGATCCATTTCGAGAGATCGTAGACATGATCAATTCCGGACTTCTTGCTCGCTGCCCCCTCCCGGAGCTTTGCTTCCGATTCTTCAGCCATTATCGATTGTGAGAGACCGGCGAGAAGACACTTCCGGGTCTTCCGGGGATTCCCCGGTGGTAACGGCTTGAAATGAATCATTCGGTTTGTTCGGTCGAAAAGACTTCCCGAACTCTATCTGCCTTGAGCATTATGGAATCTTTCCATGGATCCAACTCTTCACCTCACCTTCACTCGTAACAGTATTGCAAACTCGACGGCCAGAATTCGGTATCGGAAGACATACACTGTCGATCGCCGCTTTCGGAACTCTCACGCGACGCATGTGCATGAGAAGCCGTCACCTTGTTCCAGAGGAGGACGATCGACGAGTCCGCAGCGACCCCTACTTAAAGGATTTATGGGCTCGATCAACGGAAAACGCGACATCGAACAGATTGAAGGCAACGCAGGGAGCCCGTTGCTTCGGAGTGCGTGAATTCGATCGCATCTTGGGACGCGAATTCAGATTCTCCGGTTTGATAAGCCAAGCGAATACAAGGCGTATTGTGAGGAATTGCGGGATCGGAATCCCACAAATACAGTAGCTGCCACTGGACCGTGAGGCCAGATGGCGGACGTCCGCCTCGGCCGCTAGATCAGCGGGCTGACCACGACGCCGCGCCGGCCGCCATCACAGCGCGCGGATCCCGAAAGGGGAGCCTCGCGAATCGCGGGACGCTCTCGCTGAGGATCCGGTCAGCAAGGTCTCCGGATGGGGAGACAGAGATTCGCTCCGGGAAGAGACTCACGATGATGAACGGGACGTTTTCATTATATCCGCGTATTTCCTTCGAACAAGGAATGCGAATCTCCACGCGAGGAAGGAAGACTCAGGTGGCGGAGCGACGCGAACGACTCTCGGCGGATGCTTCGGAGAACTCATCGATTCCATGATCGTCCAGGCACTCGAATCGAAAGCTCATCCCGACCCCTGATCCGCTGGTGGACCCGTGCACTCCTCTCATCTCTTTCGAATACCCGCATGGTTGAAGAACCCTCGTGTTGATGATAGAAGATGTAATTAACAAATTTCATAACACTCCGTGGAGTATACTGTCTCGCGACTCGAGACCCGCGATCTGCGTCGCAAGAATATGTGTCCTACCAACTCGGCACCCTGCTCAGAACAAGATCAGTCAGGCGGGAATTGCTGCTAGACCGCAGTACTGATCAATCCGTCAGCCTCGGTGACAACAGTGTCTCGGAAGACTGCATTGGCTTCCGACTATCGCTGAAAGCTTTTCCCTTTCCAGGGAAGTAATCAGAATATCCTGCGAGGACTCGATATTGTGTCGTCTCCCATAAGTACATTAATATCTGGGACTTCCTAATTCCACGGAAGCGGAAGCGGTCGAGGAAATACCAGGGGATGAAGAACGAGAGCTCGGCACGGACCAGCGACCGGTGTGCGCGTTCTGCTCCATTAGTTTCAGAGGAGTCTTGATTCAGTTCCCCCAAAAAAGTGGTGCCACAGATGCGACCGGAGACATCTTCGGATAGATGGACCAAGATCAGACCGATTCGCGGTCCAGTACTGGGGTTTCGTGGCTATGCCGGGGGCATTGTGCAGCCCTCCGAGCCCTTACAGGATTACGTCACACCACGTCGCTCGATCCAGACCTTGGGACTTGACCAGGGAGACTACGATTGAGTCATTGCTAAATCTGATGGACTCCGGCTCTATTGTCCGTCTGTCGGACTCTGTGACGAATTGGGACTGAGCATGCCTCCATCGACACGATCCGAATGTAAATGGATCAATGGGGAGCTACACCAGATACGAAAGTTGATTGACGACGGAAGCTATGTCGGCCCGTGTGGCGATCGCAGCATACAGCAGCGAACCAATGAGTTGCCGATAGGGAGCTTTGTACGATTCGAGCTCGTTCCCGTTAAGGTCTATGTTCTTCGGTGGAACTTGACCGATACACGGTGTGCTTACGTGTTTGCACTCCGTCATCGAGTACTTATCGAGCACATTCCGCATGTATGCCTTCTGATGAATCTTGATCGACTTCTTCCCTCGATCACGCACGATCTCGATTTCAACAAATCGATCGGCTCTCCCTCGTGTCATCTTGAAGGTCTTCTGTGAATCGTCGAGGAATCCATCGATGGTGGCCATATCAGGAGCAACGCACAAGCCGTCGTCCACATATAGCGCAAACATGAGCTCATCTTCGGTCCTGACGAAAACACATGGATCGCTTGTGCAAGGGGTCAATCCAAGCTTCCAGAGTTCGCTCGCGATCTTCTTGTCCCATTGAAGTGGAGCTTGTCGCAGACCGTACAAACTTTTCTGAAGTTTACACACCCGACCAGTCTTGGCATCGAGCCCCTCTGGCTGCCACATGAAAATATCCTCTTCCAAATCACCATAGAGGAACGCTGTGGTGACATCACATTGTGCGATTTGGAGATCATTCGCCGCAGCTACGGACAGAATACATCTCACCTTGCTACAGGGGAATACGTTTTGGTGAAGTCTATCCCCTCCTTCTGTCCGCAGCCTTTTATCACCAAGCGAGCTTTGTGTCGATCTACCGAGCCATCGGTATTATACTTCACGCGGAAAACCCATTTCGAGCGAATTACATTGGCTCCGATCGGGCGCTCAACCAGAATCCATGTTCCATTCGACATGAGCGAGTTGTACTCAGCGGCAATCGCTTTCTCCCACTGTTTCGAAGCACTCGAAGTCATGGCTTCAGCGAAAGTCGAGGGACATGAATCCTCCGCGAGCTCGGCAAGAAACTCGACGGAGTTGAAATATTTTTACAGGACAAAATAATTGGTCTCTGAACTTGTTCGCTGACCACTGCTCTTCTCCCCACCCGGATACCCTCATCCATTTCCGCCCAGCATTCGGATTGGCTGCAGCAGAAATTCTGAGGGAAAGGTCGAGCCATAGTCTGATACATGGGGTTCTTGTCTGGGACGATTCGAGAATCCCGAAAGCCCCGAATGCCGGAAACCCGGAATCCCGAAAACCCGGAATCCCGAAAACCCGGAATCCCGAAAGCCCAGAATCCCGCATCACCCTGTTGACCGAAACCAGATGAATGAAACCTCATGAGTGGAGCCATTCCACCGCGACACTGCTGTAATTCGCATATTCGAGCTGAGAAATCTTGTCCATTCCATCTTTGGAGTAGGACTCCTATGTCTGTCCTTGAATATTGGAATCTAAGAATCACGAAGTCGGAGAGGATTCCGTCGGAAAGATTGCCAGGCTCCTTTCCTGAGCACGGGAGGCGACTGTGGCTCCTTGGATACTCGCATATATCCACCCTATTGGGCCGCGCTCGACGGCTGGTACGTATGTGAGTACAGATATCGTTTACTTGCTAAAGAGAGTAAATCTGGTGGCCTGAGATCCGGTGAGGGAGCGTCGCTTCAAAAAAATAGTAGCGAAGCGATCAAATTAACACGTCACCAAGCATAAACTCGAATCTTTCGGGGTATACTCCCCACGGGAGCCGATTGGAGCCATCTCCAATCATCTCTACTCATTTCTAGACGAGTGAGTTGTCGAAATTCCACGACCCTCTGCGTCACTCATTCGAGAGTCTCGAGGAACAGGTGGCTCGAGACACCATCACCTTTCGAATGGGAGTGAGCGCCGGATCGCTCAAAATAATTTGCTACAGTGGAAGTATGTCGAGTGACTCCGTGAGTGAGAGCGGATAGAGAGAGGGTAGCTATTCCAAGGAATCCTCCAACGATACTGAACGATACCGGTGCGGAAGAAATACGCCTTGCTCAATGCACGACTGGTGCGTCTCACTGAGCGATTCCAGTCGGAGCATTTCAGTCTCATCGAAAACGTGCGCGATACCGGTTTCGACCTCCCGGATTTCGCTAGTTCTACTTCGCCAGTGAAATGAGGAGAAAGCATCAGCATAACTCTAGGATAACATGAACATAACTTCATTATCACTAATAGAATCAAAATAAGGATGACCCA